TAGTCTTTTTTGCGTTGGAGTGACAAACGATTTTAGATCGATTTTAATTGTTTTTTGTTCAGGCAGAATAGGTATCATGGTCGATTCTAGATCTACTAAAAGTGAAAGAAAGTTTGCCTTGTGGTAATTCTACCAAAAGCATACAATGGTTTTTGAATATATTTCATATTAACTGGAAATTTAGCATCTCTAATATTATTATTATTATTATTATTTGAGTTTTCATCATCATTATCATATACTAAATGCACCAGTCGACCAATTGAACCATTTGAAATATGTAGTTCTGTGGCGATATTATGTGTTATAAGAACTGGCATATTCATTACAATCGGTAGATATCCTAGTAAGCCTTCTGTTTTATTATCAGGTAATGAAAGTAAAAAACGTCGAAAATCAATATTGTCAATATCATGATTTCGGACTCGATCATTCGCAACGACAACTGTTCATAATTGATTATACTTAATAGTTTCATCAAATACACCATAGTTGTTAATATTTGTTCTGACCTCATTTCGAAATACTAGCATTGGTGCTAAATTCCATGGTGATTCTGTTAATGATTTAACATCATTATCAGATGAAACAACACGTTTACATAACCTATCGTGATCATCCTTAGAATACATATGAAAATGCATATGGACATGTATCTCATAAAACTCACATCAGTACATTGTCCAGTTCTTAATCTAGCCTGCATGGCCATAAATAATGGATGTTTATTACGTATTTGTTCTGTCAAAAAGAACACTTTATTAACTTGCAGTCAAAGTGCACGTCCAACTTTGCATTGTATATAAACGTTAAGTTATATTACGTTGTCTGTGAGTTTGGTTAATAGTATTCAGAGTATTAGCTAATGTATCAGTGGGTGATAATATATTTGAATAGAGTGGTCGATCAAGCACTGGTGGATACTGTACAAAATCACCTAGAAATATCATATTAATACCACCAAATGGAGTTGTTGGGTCAATATGTTTTGCTATTGTGGTTATTCTATGAAGTCGAGCTAACATCTAACAACCAACCATGGAAATTTCGTTTATTAAACAATAGTCAATATTCCGCCATTCAATTTCTATAACTGATACATCTGTTTGTGATAAAGTGCAATTATTAGAAGTTTTATTACGTCCTTCATGTAGCATCGATTGTATAATTAAACCATCGATACCTACAGCAGCTGCTAATGA